TTCTTATTTTGTGGCATTGGGGAATGAACACAGGGCCTTCACAATCAGCCACATCCCAAGACCTTAAAATTTTCTATTTTTAATTTTTAGATAAGGTCTCACTATGCGTCCAGTTCTCTTGCCTAAACCTCCCAGAGTGCTGTGATTACTGGCATGAACTTCTAGGCCCAGTAAAATTTAGAGTTCATAGTCATACTTCATGAATGTTTTAAAGCAATATTGCTTTGCTACTTAGTTTCCTAAACTGATAAAATAACACACAGTCGTTATAGGAGTTCAATGAGAACTCCTATATGTTCTGTCTTTTTCTCTGAAGTAAAAAGGTCGTTATAAAAGTTCAATGAGAACTCCTATATGTTCGGTCTTTTTCTCTGAAGGATATAATTCAGAATGGCAGATGGCTATGCCACAGTGTGTGGCACTTGGTGCCTTACTAGTCACTATCATGCTTGTTGTCATCATTATATAAACTGGAGGAAGTGATGATATCCCAGGAAGCATCTATTTAAAAGCAATGATGATACAGTAAACTATTTAGACATGCATGTTACAAATAGAAATTCCTTTCATTTTTTTTCCCATCAGATTTATAGAATAAGATGCATGGAATGTGTCCTTACATATAGCCATTTAAACACACAAGAAGCCAAATTACTTTATGATCAGTCAATTTTGAGAAATTATCTTGAATATGCTCAAGCACTAAACGGGTACATATTGAAGTACATGTGAAGTTTTACTTTTAGCATAACTATTACAGTTACAAGCAAATATAGCTAGCTGTGGGAAATTCTCTTTTGAGTTATTTACGAATGAGATGCATGTTTTCTTGACATTAACATTCAAATGGATATTATTTCAGTGTGTAATTTTGTCACATTTGCTGTTTAATTGCTTCATATGAGAAATATTCCTGCTACAAGAACCTTGGCTCTTCTATTTATAATGACTCTTCTGTTTACAAATATGTTTTGTCTTTTTCTCTGAAGAATATAGTTCAGAATGACAGTATAGAAAAATGAGCTTGACACAAAGACATGTAACATTTCAGGGGGATTCAATTTATCTTTGCAAAACAGGACAACTATTTTTGTTTCATACGATTCCAAAACATTTCTCAACTATTTTGATTTCTGACTATAGTTCTAATGTGCATGTAATAAAAATAAGAAATTATTTAATTACAGTGATTTATTTTACAAGCAATTGTGCCATCTCATTTTTCTGTTTATGAGTGGTAGCTGTTTGATACATGTCAGGATTTGCAGAGTTGGTAGGAATACGGTTTTACAGTTTCAGATGGTTGATATGTTGCGTCAACTTGAGAAGTTTAGAAGTTTAAGTAAGCAACTCAGCAGGGGGTCCAGAGTCCTTATCTTGTGAACATCCTCACCTTGTGCAAGAGCAGGGCACTCAGATGGTGTGAGTGCTACACCCATCTTGGTTCAGGTAGCCTGTATACAGTATAAGGGAGGAAAAGATGCTTGATCTCCCTCCTTTTGCTCTTGTTGATTCTACTGTCTCCTGCTGCCTTGGAATGCTGCCCTTGTGCCATGCCACCCTGCCTCTGAGCTAGCCAAGTATGGACTGAAATCTCCACAAACTGAGCTAAGTAAACTTTTCCTTCCTTAATTTTTGGCATCAAGTATTTTGTCCCAGCAACAAGAGAAAACAAAGGAGAATAATAACCGTTTATTTAAATGTTATGTTAAATTAGAAAGAAATTCGACTTCAGAGTTTAAAAACCTGCCACTTACATTCATTGATCTTGGTCAAATATTTATTTTCTATGAGGTTCCATAGTCTTAAAAGTAAAATGTATAGAATCATAGGAATATTCAAGTACTTTCCAAACAGAATCCTGGTTGAACAGGAAACAGTACCCAAAAGCAACAAATGGAATCCTATCAAACTCAAAACTCCTGCACAGGAAAAGAAATGAACAACACAGTGAAAAGACAACCTACTGAAAGGGAAAAATTTTGCCAGATATTCCTCAAACAGAGGATTAATGTGCAGAATATAGGAAGAACTAAAAGAGATTAGATGCTCCAAAATAGAACACCCAATCAAAATTGGGAAGCTGAAGTGAAAGGGTGCTTCATACAAGAAGTACAATGGCTAATCAATATATAAATTAATGCTCAAAATCTCAGGCCCTTAGAGACACCTAGATTAAAACAAATTTGGTGTACCATCTCACCCCAGTAACAATGGCCATCATCAAGAAATCAGATAATAACAAATACTGGCAAGACAGCAGGGAGAAAAGGAACCTTTCTACACTCTTGGTGGGAATGTGAACTGATACACCCACAATGAAAATTAGAGTGGATATTACTCAAAAAACTGAAAGTGGAAATTCCACTTGACCCAGCTATTCCCCAATCAGGTATCTACCTGAAAGAGTTAAAGGCACCATATTACAATGATACATGCATCATACCCATATTTTTAGCTGCACAATTCATAATAGTTGAGTCCTGGAAGCTGCCTATATGTTCATCAACAGATGAATGGATAAAGAAAATCTGGTATTTACACATAAGATAGTCCTACTCTGCCATAAAGAAAGTAAATTTATGTCATTTTTAGGAAAACAGATTTGTCTTGAGACTAAAATATTAAGTGACTTAAATCAGGCACAGAAGTTTAAATATTGCATGGTTTCTCTTATATGAGAAACTCAGTGTAGATAAAGAGCCATATAAAAGAAAAATCATATGATGTAGGGAGATAGCTTGTTCTCCAAGGGGAAGGGGGTAAGAAAAGGAGGAATGGGAGAGGGAAAGGAATGAAAAAGGAAGATGTGTAATATACAAGTACCAACTCCACACAAATTCCACAAATATTATGCACTGCAAAGGTACTAAGAAAGGGAGGGGGTCAGGAATTAGGTGAAGGGGGAAGGAGTGGAGGGAAAGAGGACAAAAAGGAATAATCTATGCTATGTACATGTAACAATTCTGTACATGGAAAGTAAATATCATGTCTATGCATATGAACTGAAGTAAAAATGACCTCAGGGTTGTGAAAGGAAAAGGGTACTAATAACAAAGCTCCTGCAACAGATCTAAATGATTTAAAAGTTGACTTTTTCGTCCCTTGCATATTTTCCTAATGGAGCACATCTAGTAGTGCTTAGACCTACAAATTAATACTTAAATAAATATCAATGAGGCCTACTCCAGTATTTATCTAGATGCTTTTTTTACTAAGTAAGAACTGAAAGCGATCTTCATGTTGCAGTGAGAACTAAGCACACTATAATTTTCTTGTGCATATGTAGCTTCTCATATCTATACCTCATCATGTCACTGTGCGTCATACTGTTTGCCTGAGTTCTTCCCTATTTGTCTACAAACTATCCCTCACCCATATTCACAAGGCCCATACCCTCCCACCAGTGATTTTATATCCTGTTATGAAAACCCCCATTACCATATGTCGAATCATGTAAGCAAGAATATTTTTACTAAGATTACAGTCGATATTTTGTAAATTATAATTTCAGTATATACCTAGTATAAAACCCAGATCAAGTTCAAGAACACAGTGCCACCTTTTACATACAAGCAAGCTATTCTTCTAATCTCTCCTGCTCAACTTCAGCTCACTGTGCTTAAGTGGAAAAGAAAGAGATAGGAAGGCAAAGAGACAGGGAGGAAAGGAGGAGAAAAACTAAAATTGAAAGGTGTTGAAGTTGGAATCATATTCTTCAGTGAGTGCACTCAGAATTAAGTGCATTCGTTCTCCTTTTAATTTCTTCCTTCAGAGCAAAGAGAAAATGTTGCTCTGCATTACGAACCAAATATAGTATAACATAGGCACTTGTGATATACATGTCATATTATAAAGTATGACTTCTTTCTTTAATGGGCTAATTTTTAATCAACAAAGGTAAATTCTCTACCTTTGCAGTATCTAAAATGACATCTTATAATATGCATGCTTAGGGGAATCATTCAGTGGAACTAATTATCATGTATTGTACTATGAAAATTTGCAGTTGCCTATCATACCTTTCTAATCACTAAGGAAAACATTTCATAAGAAAATATCCCATGATGACATTTAGAAAATTGACAAAGTAGTATAATATGTGTAAACATATAGTCAAACAAATAAAATATCCATTTAGTTAAATATTCTCAGCATTATACATTTTATTACATGGGCTCATAAAGTCTTCTTTTGGAGTGGGAGGGGCAAAATACATTTTTAATTGCTCAGGTAAATATCTACCTAGTAATTTAATCAAGTTATTTATAAAACCAGGAATAAAACCATTCAGCCTCAGCACTGTAAAGTTAGAAACTCAGAAAGAGTCCTTGACAATGTACCAGGAAGTGAATAGGTACTGATTGGTGTTAAATGTAATACTGAAAAAGAAAACTAGATGATACCCAAGTGAGAAGTAATCATTTTCAATAGGAAACACAGCTATAGAGAGGACACAGGTGTGAATCATTCTATTATCATAGAAACCATAGCAATTTTCACCTATAGCAAAACTAAAATGAAATAACTAGTCAGAATTAAAGTACTATAAATAAAATCAATATTACCTGATATATGAAAATGGTTCACACATATAATTGCTTAAAAATGCACAGAATTCTTACTCAAATCATGATATGAAATATGATAATGGCATATATATTATAAATTTGAAGTCTTACATCATACTTAGCATGTTTAAATATAAATTTTTCTGTTAATAAATTATCATATAGTGTGAATATTTCAGTTTAATAGAAATTAAAGCACACAACTAATGGTCAGTGCTTTCTATTTTATAGAAAATATTATTAAACATGATCTGCCAAAAACTTAAATTTTAAAAGCATGTAATTTTTAATCCATTAGCTTGTGCTTTCTAAAGACCAGAATTGTCTGGGAGGTTATTTCAAGTTATATAGCATTCAATCCAATAATAATTCAATTAAATAATAATTTAGTAAGCTTTACTAGGTCAGACTCAGTAGGATAGAACATACTTTTTGGGAATCGAGGTGGATTATCATTGACGTCAGTGAGGGTGATGTTGACAATGGTCGTTCCAGCTAATCCTCCCAGTTGTCCTCCCATGTCCTTGGCTTGAATGAGTACTTGGTATTGTTCTTTGACTTCTCTGTCCATGTTTGGCAAAGCAGTTCTAATTATTCCTTTGGGGGAAAAACAATAATACAATGTATGTTTCACAAATACTGTGCTTTCCAAACTAAAAAGAGATGACAACAATACAGTGCTTCTACCCAGATGTAATAACAAGTATGTTAGCTAAGATAATGTGTCTTTTACAGTTTAAAACACCCTAAATTACCAAATGGTTAGGACATAATTTACTATTTTATGATCACCACCACATAAGGAAATGCAGTGGTGAGGGTGAGGATCAGCTACAAAATAAAGTACTACTTTTAAGGACTCACTGATTGAGCTAAGACCTTATATATGTATGGTTTGAAGTTTTAAAAGGAAATAATTGAAAAATTTATACAAAAATGTACATATGAAAAAATGTCAGTGGTTAAACAGTGTCCTGTGTGGAATTTCCAATGATTACCATTGTCTTTACCATTCTTTATTTGCTAGATAAATATGGTGGTTTATTTGTAAAGTACATGAAATATCTCATTGCCGTAATGTATTTTGTCTTACAGGATTTTTTAGTATCTTAGCAATAGTTTTTCCTTAGATAACATTGTTTTGCCATTACTGAGACTGTTTTTTTTTTTTATCCCAAGTTCCTCCAGGGTCCCAGTTAGAAATTGACCAACAGAACAAATGCCGGAATGACAAAAATGAATATACAAATGATTACATTCAAAATCAGCAATCTTATAATACATCTCCATATTTACATATGCCACTCATTTTCCATACTTATGGCCAAGTATAGAACTAATTTATATTTATATGTATTCATAGTGGAATAAGTAAAACCTTCAGGGTTCTTTGCAAGTAAAATCATCAAAAAATTTTATACCAAATTCCAATCTATACTAAATGATTATAGAGGAAGAAAGACTTTTGCTTTCAAGCTACATGGTTTTGATAATGTGATTTCAAACATAAGTGGCATATGTGAAGATCAAAGATAACATCAGCCATCAAGACAAACATACACCATTCAAATCAAAGATGCAATGTACATCCTCATTTGCTTTGTACTTTCTGTTACGTACTTACCAAATGCTATTTTGTTGCTAATTCAGACTTAACTATAATCTGAGATTTCTTCTGACACTTGGCAAGAAATAGTTACAAAAAAGGCAGTCTTCATTTTTGCTACCTATGTTTTATGCATGAATTGGTACTGACACCAATTTGATTCAATCTGTTTGTCGTCTCCTCAGCTTAAGTTTCTGATGCTTTCTTTGCAAGTCTCTTTAAACTGAGACTTTTCATCTCTGTACTTGAGTGCTTCAGTCCTGTGTACCTTAAGTTATGTGACTTGTGCTTGAAGTACAATGCTCTCATCTTCTAGATAAATGCCTGGGTTCAATTTATGCCCATCTTTCTTATACTGTTATTGAGCAAGGTCTACATATACTCAATTGATTTCTGATAAGGAAGTTATATAAATGTATATATTCTTTACAGATTTCATTTCTATATAAGAAGTCCCAACATGAAACTTATACATAAGGCGAGAGGGAAAAGTAGACAAAGTTGTTTGTTGAAGTATGCAAAATGCTATCTTCTGCATCTAGTTAAATTAAAACCTTAGGATACAATTGAGAAAGAGAATGGATAGGTAGTGTCAATCATTTTAAGAATCGATGCATTTTTGGTGATTTGTTAAAATTGTCAAAAAGTCTCACTTTCCCAATCCCTGTGCTTCCCTCTTGTTCCTTCCCATGTCTGACATGTGACCTCCCTGTCTCCCTGCCCTCCTCCTGACCGGAATGCAGTGTGGGAGGATTTAGAAAGTGGAGTGGGTTTTAGACCTAGTTTAAAAGACAGTATCTATTGATGGCAGTGATGTACTTCCCCCCTCTATCACATTTTCAGTCAAGAACAACCCTTCCAGAGGAGAAAGTGTAGTTTGCACATTTTTGAGAGTTGGGATTTGGAGAATCAGGAAGACCATGATGTTCAGTATGAAAAAATGATCTTTTTATTGTTGTGGGTAAAACAGAAATCCCGGGAAAGTCCTATTTTTCAAGAAACTGATCTATTTATAACTGTTCATTGCTTATTACATGCTTGACAATTGAAAACAAACAAACACGTAGAGACTATGCAATACTGCAAGAGGGGAAACTTCTCAGAGGATTGAGCTCAGTAGTAGAAGGTAAAATAGAACAGTAGAATAGTAGAATTCGGCAGCAGAATGTAACCAGTTGAAGGAAGGAATGATGGTTCTTCTTACTTAAAATTTAGGTCTATGTGTCTATTTCTGTCTTTTAGTATAAAGATACAGTGACCAGTTTGTAGGATCACAGTGAAGACAAATAAAATAAAATAAAATAAAGAACAGAATAAATATTCCATAAGAGCAGTGCTGGAATTTTAATTAATTCCTCATAATTCTGAAATAAATCATATTTATTGGAAAAAAGATAGAAAGTTAATTATGCATAATCCTGGAATGATTCAAATATCTTAGAAATGGGTTAGCTTTCCAAAGCAAACAATCAAAACAACTACAGTGGAAACAAAAGTGAAAAAAGAAATTCTGGCAGATATTATTTTGGCTAACATGAACGTACATATATGGTTGAAAGATTTATAAATTTAAAATAATATATGAAATGACATGAGTCTCCAAAGGATATATTTTCCCTCTACAGTCACCTCCTGCTATCGACATTCCTCCAGTCTTGACAGAATTTATTAATTTTGTAATATTGTCTTCAATACTGCAATGATAATACTTTGAGATAAAAATCAGGTGGTACTATGTAGGAAAATACCATAAATACTACCCTAACAAGTCAAAGTACAATTTCATGTGTTATTTCTTGAAGGAAGGATCAGTTGCATTACTAAGACATAGGAAAACAGATTCAGTTAGGACCTGACCTAAAATTTTCTTTTCATTCATGTAGTGTTAGTAGGACTGAGGTCACAGTGATGGATACTCTTCGTTTACTGCTCCAGGTCTGTACACTTCTCCAGACTTTATTCTGCTGCCTGGCCCTGCTTGCCTGAGGTAACTGGCAGGACAAAAGAGTGTGCCATGAGCTTTGGTTCCCACTCTATGGGTTCCCCCATCCTCCACTGCCTCCTGCGTGGGTCTCTCGCCAGACAGTGCATGTGTCCTGAACTCCCTTTTGTTTCTTTTGGCCCAGGAAGGTAACTTTACCCATTTGTTTATTTTTCTTTGCTTGCATCATGCCCTGTGCATTAGGGAATCTCTTCATACTTGCACCTTTGCAAATAACCCTTTAGGTAGCCACATCTCAAATTGCCCACTAGATGCCACTTGGGGAACATCTGGGGTGATTACTGATGTCGTCTCAGTAGAAGTTTTGTTCACAGGATTTATATTTAAGGGGTTGGTGTTTATGGGAACATGGATCAGATTATAAAGTAATATGAAAAATAATAAACTGGGGCCGGGGATGTAGCTCAGGGGTACAGCACCCGCCTGGCTAGTGCAAAGTCTGGAGTTCGATTCCTGGTACAAAGAAATTAAGCTGGTTTTAGATGGTGATGAATGTTATGAAAGAAGAAAAAATATGAGTGTCCGAAGAGACATCGCCCAGAAGCCTTCAAGTGTATGTCTGAGAAGAGGATTCGACGAGGAAAAAAACAGAGTAAAAGAGTCCCATAGGAGCAGTTAGAGAAACTGTCAAGTTGCAAGAACAAGCACTACCCAACCTGGCTGTAGAAAATCAGAGGGAAGGGGCTGGGGATTTAGCTCAGCGGCAAAGCGCCTGCCTGGCAAGCGCAAGGTCGTGAGTTCGGTTCCTGGTACCGGAGAAACCCCCCCCAAAAAAAGAAAATCAGAGGGAAAAAGAGGTACACAGTGAGGCGGTAGAGTGGTAATGGTTTGCTAAAGTAAATAAACCTTCTGAGAAGTATCTAGAAAATTATGTGGTCATTTGTGGCTGTCATAAAAATGTCTTCTCCCGGCACCTATTTGGGAGCAGTTAGGAATGCACATAACTTTTTGAGACTGTTTCATAATTCCAAAATCTTTACAGATCCAAATGAATCTCAACACAGCTTTGATGGGATCATCATCATTCTGATTAACTGAGTGCTTCAGATAGATGAATAGATTGATGATAGATGGATACTTTCTGCTTCTCATTGAAAACAATGTAATGAATGTGTAACTCATGGACAGAGTGATTTATATCAGGCATGAGGAACGGTGGTAAATGTCAGGGTTGGTAACACGGCTTCTAGTCCAGGAACTACCAAAGCATTTTAGAAGAATAAATATGTTTGAAAATGATGTTGAGTCAAAGAAAGGATAACTTGGAAGATCATTTGAATCCTGCAATTTACACAGTTGTTAAATACCCCTCAGCAGAGTAAGAACTGGCAAACTCCAAATGAAATCCTTCCGCTCCAATCGCCGGTGACTGAGGGTCTTTGCTGGAGTGGGTGGTGCCGAACATCCAGCTACTTCAGCCATGCCAGGCGGTCTGAGGCTCTTTGCTTTCTAAGCTTCTCAGTCTCACTTTTCCTGATGAATTCCTCTCCAGGGACAGAGCAGGCTAATCTCTATAGTTTTGACACTGGTCATTTTCTTTTCTGTGAAAGTATTTTCAGCCTCACAGCACAGCTCCAGGAAGAAAGGCGTTTACCCTAGACAGTACATGCATGCCGAGAGGGAAGAACTTTTCATTTCCTCTCTTCAGATATTTTGCCTGATTATCTTCATTCACCAGACTAAACGCTAGTAGAGGACAGATGTGGGAAACAGGGGCCCAGAGGTCTGGTTGAGGGCCGTGGTGGAGGAGCGAGTCTGAGCAAACTTAGACTTGTCATGTCCTCGGCAAACCGAGTGAGTCGCCCCTCCTAGGCTGTCCCGCTCTGCCCCTCCCTCGGTGCCTCCCCTGGATAAACATGCCTCCTTTTGCCACGCCCCTAGCCTGCTCTATAAAACGTCCGGTACTTCCACAATAAAGTAGATCTGCGCCATCAGCCTGGTCTCCGGTGTCTCTTTCTTCACCGTGCCACCACTTGCCAAGGGCCCAGG